AAAACAGCCCTGTTCCGTCCTGATTATAGTACATGTCTCAAAGCTCACGAAGCGACACCTCAGAATTGTGAGAGGCATCGAAGTCTGTTCGCATCAGATACTCTAATCGCTCTCGAGCGTTTATTGCCTGTTTTTCAAATCCTCTAGTCCCTAGTCGCTCTGGGGAATTTGTCCATTTCGAGCGGTTTGCTCCTTGTTTCTCAGAGGCTCTAGTCGCTCTCGAGCGTGTACTCCCTGTTTCTCAAATTCTCTGGTCCCTTTCGCTTGTTTGCTCCTTGTTTGTCAGATACTCTAGTCGCTCTCGGGCGTTTATTGCCTGTTTCTCAAATTCTCTAATCCCTTTCGAGCGGCTTGCTCCTTGTTTCTCAGATACTCTACTCGCTCTCGAGCGTTTATTGCCTGTTTCTCAAATTCTCTAGTCCTTTTCGAGCGTTTTTCTCATTGTTTCTCAGATACTCTGGTCGCTCTCGAGCGTTTATTGCCTGTTTCTCATATTCTCTAATCCCTTTCGAGCGGTTTGCTCCTTGTTTCTCAGATACTCTGGTCGCTCTCGAGCGTTTACTCCCTGTTTCTCAAATTCTCTAGTCCCTTTCGAGCGGTTTACTCCTTGTTTCTCAGATACTCTAGTCGCTCTCGAGCATTTACTCCCTGTTTCTCAGATACTCTAGTCCCTTTCGAGCGGCTTGCTCCTTGTTGCTCAGATATTCTATAGTCGCTCTCGAGCGTTTACTCCCTGTTTTTCAAATTCTCTAGTCCATTTCGAGCGGCTTGCTCCTTGTTTCTCAGATACTCTAGTCGGTCTCGAGCGTTTACTCCCTGTTTCTCAAATTCTCTAGTCCATTTCGAGCGGTTTGTTCCTTGTTTCTCAGATACTCTAGACGCCCTCGCGCGTTTATTGCCTGTTTCTCAAATTCTCTAGTCCCTTCCGCTTGTTTGCTCCGTGTTTCTCAGATACTCTGGTCGCTCTCGAGCGTGTACTCCCTGTTTCTCAAATTCTCTGGTCCCTTTCGAGCGGTTTCTCCTGGTTTCTCAGATACTCTACTCGCTCTCGAGCGTTTATTGCCTGTTTCTCAAATTCTCTAGTCCCTTTCGAGCGGGTTGCTCCTTGTTTCTCAGATACTCTAGTCGCTCTCGAGCGTTTATTCCCTGTGTTTCAACGTCTCTAGTCCCTTTCGAACGGTTTGCTCCTTGGTTCTCAGATACTCTAGTCGCTCTCGAGCATTTATTGCCTGTTTCTCAAATCAGTCCTTTTCGAGCGGTTTGCTCCTTGTTTCTCAGATACTCTGGTCGCTCTCGAGCGTTTATTGCCTGTTTGTACAATTCTCTAGTCCCTTCGAACGGTTTGCTCCTTGTTGCCTCAGATACTCTATAGTCGCTCTCGAACGTTTACTCCCTGTTTCTCAAATTCTCTAGCCCCTTTCGAGTGGTTTGTTCCTTGTTTCTCACATACTCTAGTCGCTCTCGAGCGTTTACTCCCAGTTTGTCAAACTCTCTAGTCCCTTTCGAGCGGTTTGCTCCTTGTTTCTCAGATACTCTAGTCTTTCTCGAGTGTTTATTCCTTGTGTCTCAGATTCTCTAGTCCCTTTCGAGCGTTTTTCTCATTGTTTCTCAGATACTCTAGTCGCTCTCGAGCGTTTGCTCCCTGTTTCCCAAGTTCTCTAATCCCTTTCGAACGGTTTGCTCCTTGTTGCTCAGATAGTCTATAGTCGCTCTGGAGCGTTTACTCCCTGTTTCTCAACTTCTCTAGTCCCTTGCGAGCGGTTTGCTCCTTGTTTCTCAGATACTTTAAGCGTTCTCGAGCGTTTACTCCCTGTTTCTCAAATTCTCTAGTCCCTTTCGAACGGTTTGCTTCGTGTTGCTCAGATACTCTATAGTCGCTCTGGAACGTTTACTCCCTGTTTCTCAAATTCTCTAGCCCCTTTCGAGCGGATTGCTCCTTGGTTCTCAGATACTCTAGTCGCTCTCGAGCATTTACTCCATGTTTCTCAAATTCTCTAGTCCCTTTCGAACGGTTTGCTCCTGGTTTCTCAGATACTCTAGTCGCGATCGAGCGTTTATTGCCTGTTTCTCAAATTCTCTAGTCCCTTTCGAGCGGCTTGCTCCCTGTTTCTCAGATACTCTAGTCGCTCTCGAGCGTTTATTGCCTGTTTCTCAAACTCTCTAATCCCTTTCGAGCGGTTTGCTCACTGTTTCTCACACACTCTATTCTTCGAGTTGTACCTTTCCTTAGCCTGGAGTGGGCCGCCAACGGCGCTTCGGTTCCACGTCGACCCTGACCGTCGCAGCATCTGCGGTGCGACGCGCCGACCTCCTGCGGGTGCCTGTATTCAATCTTGCACGTGGCAGTCAAGAAAACGAACGCGCTCTGCGCCGATCGCTGCCCCGCAGCCGCCTTCGCGCCGGGCTTCGGTCTGCACCGAGCCCCGCACGCGCCCCGCAACGAAGACTGCGTCTCTCTCCGAGACATGACCGGAGCACTTCCGAAGCTTGTAGAAGCGACCCCCCGGCTTTGCAAATGCTGCCTTCGCACGATCAACTATCGGCCCGGGGTAGAAACGTCGGAAAACTCACCTGTCCCGGACCGCCTGCTGCGCTCCTGTGTCGCTCGAGCCTCTTGCGATCCGGCATTATCTCCTGCCTTCCGATGACCCCTGTTCGGCAAAGGGGGCCCTGTCACTCAAAGCTGCCTGGTCGACCGGCTCTTGCACTGATGGCGTGTAGAAAGCGGAAAAAGTCTGAAAACCTCCCAAGTGCAAATGTCGCCTCCAGCTGGGGCACAAGGACGACCAGCGAGATGGTTGCAGCCTGACACGGTGCGATAAACGTCAAAAACAACCGTGCCAACGGATGAGACATAGACCTTGGATACCAATCCGGAGTCATGGCTACCGATCACACCCTAAGCGACTTTGCTGTGCAGCCGCGGACAAGGCTTCGCCTCCAGCTCGCAGCGCATGGCTTCCAGGTTGTCCACCACGCCATTTACCTCAACGACCCAGGAGCCTGTCGGGCTTGGAAATGGTCGCAGGGAAACCGTGCACAGACTTACCACTCTGCCTTCAACCACCAAAATCCGCGAGGTAAACGATAGAAAGTCTCGGGTGAAACGTGGATGTAAACCTCGACGCTTCCGGGTATGCAACATGCTGAAACCTATAGTCCTGGTAGAGGACCCACCTTCCACTGCACGCTCCGCAGCGTCCACAGCTGCATTGCGCCGTCCAAGTAGGCCCTTCTCGGAGATGGACACAATCCTCTGACAACAATGGCTTTTGGGTCTCGGAGCAGATTTTGGGCTTCTTAAGCGAGGATCACTATGGACTGGGGCTCTGGGAGGTTGTAACTTCGAAGGGCCTCCGGAGGGCCTCCAGTTCGTGCAGAAAGAAGCAGGCAGTTTCATGTTTTCGGACCCGGAGATGTCCAAGACTTCCTGAAATTGCTTGCCCAAAATATCGTTAGATTTCGGAAGGGTCCAATCTTGGATCTCGTTCACCCAAGTTGCTCTTAGAGACCATGTGCATAAAGCACCCAGCGTCTTCACAGCAGTATGGTCCATAATATGCAGACTGTGTGGCCCTGTACCTGCTGCGACATCTGCAAAGAAATGCAGGGCCTGGTGCAGTTAGGAGGACGAGCAGCAGTGCTGCGTGATAGTTGCATCCGAAGGGCTGTAAGCAGCCGGGCCGGATTGCATCCGCCTGGGTGTGTAAGTGAAGTCCACAAAAACTAAAGTTAGTTCTAAAACCGAACTGGCGAAGGAATTCAGCGCTTTCATACTGCTATGCGGCCATGCGATTCGGTGGTTAGATTCTCGAAGCGTGCGGCTCGCTACGGTCAACCCTGGCCCTGGGCCCGCCTCCACGCTGAAGCCCAGCAAATCTTCCGGGTCCACCTTCCTCAGGCACCTGAAACACAGCTCAGAATACACAGCTTTCGACTCTAAGCTTCAGCTCTGCGACCGTAACGCTTCGACGGCGATGAAGCTCTTTCGTCGTGGCTGTCGCAAAACAGGCTTCACATGCAAGCCTTACAAGCTTTGCAACAGTTGCACCGGTGGCCGGGGTTAGACCATGGTCCCACCAAAATCAGCGAGAAAGGACCACACACCAAGCCAAAAGGCACAGGGGAATGCGAAGAATGCAAGATCCCTCGTCTTCGACTATATTTCGACGGAACCAAGCAGTCTCTGTGGCAGAGGCCGGTGCACTTCGATCCGGCGAGGCTCCCGGGCCGGAAGAAGACCTGGTGAAGACCGGCCAGGCAGGTAAAGAACACAAAGCTGTGGCTCTCTGACACGGAGGTAGGAGCTCCAGTCCCAGAACTGGCCAAGGCAGACCCTTACCGAGTTGGCTGCGGTCGTCCAAAACGACTTTCTCCTCCCGTGTCCCAGGCAATTGTGCGTTTGTGCATAAGACTGGCGTGAAGTCTTCAACAGAAATTCTACAATGGTTCTGGCCACGGGTTAGGAATCAGGTTAGACACTGGTACGTGCATACTTATGCAGACGCTGTAGCACTGCAGCATACACAAGGCAGAGAGCGTCAATAGCAAAAGCATGAAACTGAGCATGCGCATGATCGCGGCATGGCTAACGAAGGGTCGGCGGCCTCGTCGCTGTCGCCATCCTTCCCATGGTCCTGCAGGCCATCGGCTCTGGTGCATGACTATTCCCTTGTTCGGATCCTCATGGAGGCCGAAAATCTTGGCACTATAGGCAGTGAAGCAATATCCGCTCCTGCAGAGGCTCGGGATGCAAAAGACAAAGGCTGGTGGCACACGCTTAGCAAAGCAAACAGGGATGATCAATAATAGTAATTGCGACAACAACGACCACAACAACAACAAGAACGAGAACACAAGCAGAAGCAGCAGCAGAAGCAGCAGCGGCCATAGCACAAGAAACACGAGCAGCCGCAACAGCACTTGCTCGAGTGGCACCTACCCAGACTGAAGAACCGGCAGGCAAACGGGCAGGCAAACGGACAGACTCCCGTATAATCATGCAGACCGACAGACGACAGACAGACGGACGGACGGGCAGAGATGCGTACGTAGACATTACATCACATCACACCTCGCTACAGTACATTACATTACATGTCACTACATTCGCTACAGCAATTTTTCAGCAATCTACAGTACACTACATCGCTTTACATTACGTTACATTGCATTGCATTGCGCGGAACTGCATTGCATTTAATACATGCAGACACGCCAAGATGCACACGGATGCGCACAAACCGCGAGTGTGTGTTTGTTGTCCACAGTGCGGAGTGTATGCATGCATGTAGTTGCGCTCGTATGGAGGTAAGTGGACATGCATGTGGGAGCATGTGGGGCCATTTACACGCAGGTGTACCCAAACCCCTGTACTTGGCAAAATAGCACGATCCTCCGCTTTCAGCATCCAGGGGCATCTCCTGCAGACCTGCAGTGCAGGGCAGGGCGAAAGCAGCAAGATTTCTCTGCAGCAACGGAACCTCGCTTGAAAACAATCGCCATCCTCGCCACGACCACCAGCAACGTGAGCAATAGTAAGAAGACTGATTGACATAAAGGCTGTCGAGATGCTTGAACTGCCATGGTCAATGTTAGTGAGTATCGGCCTTTATGCTAACTAACGACTGGCCGCAGAGTGTCAATGTCCGTGATTGGATATCTGGTAGTCAAACCGTGTTAAAATGCTTCGCATTACGGCTACTGCTACTAGTGCTAGCGCTACCACCACCACTACTGCCACTGCTTCCACAACTACTACGACGACTACGAAGGCTACGACGACTACGACTACTGCTGCCACCACCACCGCGGCCTCCTCGACTGCCAGAAGAGTCGGCATGGGCACAGCTGAATCTTCAAGTCTTTGAGAACCTGAGCCCAGGCCCAAGCCATTGCTTTGCAAACACGAGTCTTCGTTAGCTCGCACAATCCATTCAAGTACCGACCCGCTTAACTCAGCCACGCAATGACGATGACCAGTCTGCAACAAACAATCCCTCAACCACAAATTAAACCAAGGTGCAATTCAGAAGCGTGCGAGGCCTGGCAACCACCGAAGCAAGGACCCACACTCACTCCCCGGCTTGGTAAATTCAATTTCACCATTGCTAGCGATCCTCGAACTCAACAAACAGCTTAGTCGGCCAAGCCCTGTATCAGCTAGAATCCAGCTTAGCTTGCTGCGGGCCAGCAGGAGGAGTCCGCGAGGAATGTGCGGGGCCATCTCCTGCAAAGGAGCTGATGACTTTTGATGTACAGTTACAGGCACATATTGATCTTGTGGCCCTAGAACGGGCTAATTATTAGTGACTAGTGACGTCTTGATGCATCTGAAGAAGATGCAGAGCTGTGCAGATCGTGTGCGGTGGTCTTCTCTCCCAGGCCCGAGGCTGTGCGGATCTGCAGCCTTTGTGCACGACAGGGACAACCAGGTCGAGCGACCTCGGGATCGGGCAGCCAAGCTGCGCCGTCTGCGGCCTGAGGCCATTAGGAACCAGAACTTCGCTCACCCGTTTCTGCCGAAAGATTCACCCTGGTTTTTGGTCGGGCACATTACTAGAGTCCCTCTCCCCATCTCTCGATTAAGGCTTGGGATTAGGGAGCTAGCGTGTCGGAGGTACTTCCGGTGCTCAAGTTCTCTCCGGTTCCGTATTTCGAGTCGGGGCTTCAGGGGTCATAGGGTTTTGGGCTGAGGCTCAGTGTTCTACTAGGATCTGATGAATTGGACGTCACTTGAGCGAGACTTGTGCCAGCGTGCGCCATGCTTGCACCAGACTCGTTGCACTTTCGCAAGGAGGGCCAGAGGTTGGAGGTTGGAGCACTTTGGGTGATCAGAGGGGGGCCGGGGCATGGGACGTCGGACGGTCTGCTCGGGCACCTATCAGGTCTTCAGCTGTACAATCGGCAGAGGAGAAATGAGGAGCAGCACTAGAAGCAGCGGTACTGATGGCAGCAGTGTGGAGCAATGGTTGCAGCTGCCAAGAATCAACAAGCTGTCACATCAAGCACAAGGTCCAGATGCCTGAATCAGTTCTGAAGTCTTGGTTGCAACCGACTGGCGCGCTGTGCATGCTCGAATGCTCTGAGAGGGTCCTCGCTGGGCTGCAGCCTGACGAGTCTTCGGACATTAGCTGTAACATCGTTTGCAGTATGCAGGGCGACCGGCCTCAGACTCAACGCGCACAGCTTTGGCAGAGAATGCCAGTATGCCAAGGTCAGTATCTGTACATCGTGATATTGACACAACGAGAAGCTGACAACCTTCGAGCAGTTACGACCTGCGACTCCAACATGATGCTGCCATGTAAGTAGAACCGTTGTCATGGTGAAGTTTGCATTCGAATTGTATACATCTTGGCTAAGCTAGTGACCGGGGAGGATGTATGCAGGGAGTGTACCGTACACCTTTCCCGTAACAACAACAACCGTGCAGAATCAAGCCTTCTGATGAGGTGTCCCGGGCGAAGTAGAAGAGTCTCCGACCCCCAGCTAGACGGCCTAAGCGCATGTCTGCATCAGCAGTCTTTCGTCTCGGCCTTTCGGTGCCGCTAGATGCAGCGATATTGTAAAAGGATCGGGGCGGCTAACGACGAGTGCTGTCTCGGGTCTCAAATGCTGACAAAATTTGGGCGCAGTCACGTCGGCAAAGACACACGGCTGAGAACAACATGCTCAGGAAAGCAACTGGAGAGGGACCAACAAAAACCCTCTGGCACCGACGGTAGTGTCTGAAGTCTTTGGGCGATGTCAGACATCCAACTACGGCGCGAAAATAAGTGCCAGGCTCGTCGCTACAGGAGCCTGTGTGGGACATCAACAAAGTCGCATGATGCTGCCATTGGCGTCCTCAAAGCTCAAGCATCTGATAATCTTTTGCAATGCCGACAGATGACGTTGCATCTCTACGGAGTCAAAGCAGGTGGTTCTGCAAGCTGCCTGCTAAGAAAGGAAATCTGACAGCACGAGTTTCGTGCAGTGTAGATTGCATCATCTCCCGACGATGGCCGCGATGAACCCACCCAAGCAGATGCTGGTTGCCAGCATGCATAAGATGGAGGACGACACGGCCTGGGCCTTCTGAGGCCCAGCATCCTGGGAGGAGGACGAGGACGCGCAAGTTCCCGTCTCCTGACTCTGGGAGGTCGTATCGTCGGAGACCTCTGTGTCCGCAATCTGGAGGCCCGGGCTGGTGATGCATTCGGCCTCGGCCTCGTCACGGGCATCCGACACGTTCTCGATCTCAAGGTCCCCTCGCTCGCCGCTGCGCTCCCCGCGCTCGGACTTCGCGTTCGCATTCGTGGCAGCCTCGAAGCCGGCAACGCCCAAGGTGACCAGAAAGACCCCGAGCACTCGCTGGAAAACGATAGCGATCCCCAGAGCCGAGTCCAGAAGCAGCGACAGTGGGAGGCCCAGCAGTACGAAGAGTCGACAGGCAAGGGGGCTGACGACTAACATGCCCCAGGCAAGCGACAGGTTAAAGCAAATGTTTAAGATCATATTGATGGACAAATAATACCAGCCTTTCGCACCCGTGGGAAGCCCAAGCTGCGAGCTTGGCAGGAACAGTAAACCAAGGCCTCCAAACACGGCTACGGCCATGCCCTTGACCATGAAGTATGTAAAGAAGGTCTGCCAATCACAGCCGTGGGCAAAGATGAGCTTAAAGAGCACCATATAAAGGGCGGCTGTGATGCAAGTGACCACCTTGCAGGAACGCAACCACACTGCACTGTACCTGCACCCCTGTACCACAGTACGGAATGCGGGCTCCAAATCGAGCGGCGACCAGCAAGTCGCCCAGCAAAGGCTGTGAGCCGTCGCAAGCTCCGCTATGACACTCCTCGGAAGGACCCGGGTGCCGGAAGTTGAGATGAAGGATCGACTCGAAGGCTTCTCAACAACCTGTTGCAAACTCACTTTAAGAGTAAGAGCTCTGAGATCGAAATTGCCGTGTTTGCTTGGATGCCCTGCAAACGAACCGGACCTCAACTCGGCTCCTTCAGGTCACTCCGCGCTGTAACCACGGAGCCTGCGATGGCCACCACCAGCCAAAAGAGCTGGCAGGGCCGATACCTCTCGCGCAGGCAGAAGAAGGATAGTCCTGGCTCAGAACTCAGGGCCCTTGGGCTCGAGGGGTTCGAAAGTGCTCGAAAGTTATGGATTCTGTCACTACGTAGGACGTAGGTCTCTGTGACTTCAGACCACAAGGGATAGCAAGGTCCCCAAGAATCTGCAGAAGCCATAACCCTGGCCCCGCTCGGCATGCTGCAGGGGTGTTTGTGGGCTTGGGGCTCCTGCGATGAAGACGGGCGTCAGCTGCCTGAGCTACTACAGGGCCAGCAGCATCCCAGGCCCCATTGGAGGAAAACTGAAGTGACTTCTTGCAGACTGGGGACTCCAGAGTCATCGCAGAGCTCGCAGTCGTCAAGACCAGTGCGGCTGTGAACGAGATGTTGGCTCCTTTGCTTCGCATTATTTTCCGTCCACAAAGTGGCCGGTGGAAGGCGCGACAAAAATGCAACAATGGAGTTCGGGACATCTGGAAGATCAGAGTTCTTGCAAAAAACAATGCAGCCACCTTTGAGCTTGAGACCACAGCCGTTTCTGCATGAGACAACTCATCATGCTGTCACCGCAGCAGGCTAGCATGCATGCTGAGAATCCTTCTCGCGCTCTCGAAACGGTGTCGCTGCTTGATGCTTACGTGCATGCTGCCCTTACTGTACACTGACCTACAACGGACCTGCGCCTCCAACCTCATTGCCTACAAGCCCTTCACTGGCGAAGTCCCAGCCGCCAAAAGCCAGCAGCCCCATGCCCTTGGTGCGAACAAAGAAGAGGGGGGTGTCAAAGCGAAACTTCTTGGAATCATGAAATCATCATGAGATGACAGACCTGTGGAAGAAAGACATCCGGTTGCGTACTGCCTGGAGCCAAGGCACCCAGCCGCGGAAAAGCAGTGGGCGCGAAGCTGCCCAGAGGCGACGACCCTGGCCGTAGGCAGCCAAGGGCACCTGCTGACACCAATGCGTAGGAGGCGTTGGGGTTCTCCCTGTGGCGAGTCTGTGCTGGGGAGTCTTAGTTGGTTTTGGGATTCGACAACGTCCTGCCCTATGCTTGCCCAAGGGCTGCAGCAGCCATGAGAGCCAGCTCATGTAAGTAGGTGAGCAGGTACGGCTTCCTGGGCTGGATGGCTTGGTGTTTACAAGATTCAGTGTGGTCACGACGGCCTTCTGTGCACAGTGCTGGAGACTCTTGCTGCTGTTCCGGTGCCTATGCGCCAACTAACATCCAAGTCATCCGAGCTTCTTGAAGTCGCAGTTCTCCTGGCAAGTAAGATTATGCTACATTCAACCAAACATGGACTGCTCGGAAGCTACCTGTAGCAGGATTCCCAGCACACATACAGTTTGATGCCGTGCTCCGTTCAATATCAACTTTGCCCGGCAACCCGCTAAGTCTGTGTCCTGGAGCAGCTTCACCGTGAATACCTCTGACATGCCGTGGCACAACACTGCACTGAGCAACTTCTTTCCCTTCGCCGATCCGAGCAAAGCCGACCGAGGACCGCACCGCACTTGTCCAGCACAAGGCAATGATCAGCGCAGCGAACAGAATTCTGTATTTTCCAGCCGCCATGGTGCGCAAAAGCCATCCGCCGGATCAGCACGGGATCAGCTTTGTATAACTTCTCGGATGGTTATTATTAGCAGTCTTAGCATGCTATCCAACTGCCCGCACATTGCGACGGACATCGTGACAGAAAGACCAGTCTTCAGTTGTCTATGATTCTTACGATGCCAACCAACATTGCCGACTTGTCCGACTTCTTCTTTGCTGTCACGAGCCTGAACCGAAAGCCAGCCGATGGTTGGCCCCGTAAACTCAAAGCATGTTCTGAGCCCTGGCGGAGTTCGCTGCAAAAGGCAAAGGCATCGGAGTAAGTGCCTGGCCTTCGGGAGCCTGCACAAGCAAAGTAACGCTCTCTCCAAGTGAGAAACCTCTGGGTCAGGCGCTGCCCCGTTCAACAATAATTTTCAGAGTCGGGTCATCGACTCGATGATCGAAAACAGGTTCGGGGTGCTTCGTGCTGAGCTCAGCCCCAAAACTCCGTGCTCAGTCTCGGCCGCTGCAAGCCTTCAACAAAGTCCTTGCTCCACGCCAAGGCCCTATCAGCCGAACTGGAAACCAATGTTTTTGCATTCGTAAAGCACAGCAAGCCACGAATCGGAGCCTTCTTCTTGAGAATGCCGCTGTTGCGCAGGGCGACCTTGACCTTTCACAAAGGGCCAGGGTATTTTTGCTTCGGGCGAGCAAATTTGTCAACACCCGACACCCTTCCGTCTGAATCAAAACCAGAACAAAGAACCTTCATTTTTGCACCGCTTCCCTCCTACAAGTCCGACGGCAAAGGGCCCGCAACTTCCGTGGATCTTCCGGCAGCGCCAGGATCAGCCAGTCATGACCTGGGCAGAATCCGCCCACAGTGTCAGTGTCCACCAAACAAACTCAGCAAAACATCTGGCCAATGGGAATGCTGAATGCAGCCCTGCTCATGAGCACGTTGCAAACTCGCTCGCAGAATCGACATACATCTAAATGTGTAAGTCTGGCAGTGGAAGGGTCTTTTGCAAGCTCTAATATGCCGAAAACCGATGTGACGGAACAGCCCATCTAAAAGAGGCTCTTGAGGTAGGCATTCGGTACGTTCGCTGCGCGACCCCTGGCGACAAGTCCTGCAACCTACCCTCGTTGTTGCACTTCCTCCGAGCCAGAGGGCCACGAACGTGAAAATTGGGGCCAGCCGCGGTCAAGCTTATGGCTTTGCAAAGCATTGCCTCGGATGGCTTTGGATCTCGAGCCTCAGCAGAGAGCCTCTGCCTGCAGCGCTAAGGACTTTGAGAATCCTCTATGTCTATAAATACTGATTGCAATGGATTGAGAAGATAATTGAGAACTGCGGAGATGTATACGCTGCATGCATAAGCCTCCATGCTTCAGCTGTGCCCGGTGATAGTCCGCGACACTTCCATCTCAAGATCCCGATCGCCTCGGCTGCTGTTTGAGAAGTTCGGGCATACAAACACCGGATGCTCCCGGATCCCTACCGATTCGTGCCTGAAGCTACTTCGGCTCGCCGGCTCAATCTTTAAAAAGCCGGGGACGCGATTACTCCACGTGAAAGATCATGAAAACATTACCCAAGGCCCAGTCCTTTGACAGCTGTAAAGGAAGCCTGTCCAGCTGAACCTACGGTGCTCCCCGGCCAAGATACGGAGAGGCCACTTGGCGGCCTCTTGGTTGAAGCGCAGCGGGTCCTCGATGACCTAAGAATTGCCATCTTGTCCTCATAACTTGGGGGTCGCGGCTTCGTTTCAGAGCACTGGGCCTGAGATCCTGAAGCCACGCATGCTTTCGGAAGTGACCGGAGTGCTCTGAGCGTTACTGTAGAGGGGCTTTTGAAAGACAGCAGTGGGCATCATCAGGTAGGCGGATATCTCGTGATATGTTGACCAGAAACTCGATTCGGAGGCTTGGCCTCACATCCTCGGGGAGGCCCCATCATACGAAGAGACTGTTGTTGCCTGGAATGCTGAATGCGCTGCACCCAGGGTTCACAAAAGTGCGTACTGGACTTGGCTCGTCGAGCTTGGATGACACGCAAGTCAACGCCTGTCTTCGCTGAGTGCTGGAATGACCTCATGCCCTGGCGGCACTGTCTTAAGCGAGGAGCGAGTATCTTCTTCGCCCGCGCAGCCTCCTTCATCTCGGACATGGCCCTGGGCAAGAACACTCGGACAGGCTCAAGCGGCTCCCATGCCGAGTGCTCTCAGAACAGCACACTGCCAGCCCATCACCGCCCGGCCCAGTCCATTGCTTCTCGTCAGCTGGTTCATCACGTTCTTCATCTTCCCCATGTTTCTCCCATTGTCATCATCAGCAACAACAGTTGATTTCCACCTAAGACCTACCGTTCATCGTGACAACACGAACAGACTTGTGCAAAGAAGATAATTAGTAGTTAATCCCAGGAAAATCAGACGAGGCTCTGGTTGCGTTGTGAGGAGGCAGCGAAAACCTGAGTACACAGAGCCAAGCCCAAATCAGCACTGCCTGCAAGGCCACTCTGGTGACAGCCACTGTTGTTCGAGCTCATGCTTGGGCGCGAACTGCTGTGGTCACGCGCCTCCGCAGCAGACCGCCTTTGTACAGAATCGCAAACGGGTTAACTGAAACCCCTAGTAGCAGCAGTCTGCCGGAGGCGGCTAGCTGCTGTTGTTCGCTTCGATGGCATGTTGTTGGCGAGAACATAAAGTCTGCAGTCAAGAAAGTGTCGTCTTGCAGCATCCATCCATGGATGGATGGATGGGTTGCTTGGATGGATGGATGGATGGATGGATGGATGGATGGATGGATGGATGGATGGATGGATGGATGGATGGATGGATGCATGCATGCATGCAGGGAGGGAGGGAGGGAGGGAGGGAGGGAGGGAGAGAGGGAG